GGCAGCGCTCGTACGTGCGCTCCAAGCGCTCATAGAAGAGATCCTTGGATGCCTCATCCTTCTCTTCCGTCGGGGCATGGGCGCAGATGAGCGAGATGTTGAAGAATCTCGCTTTGATGCGGATTGTGGCTAGACGCTCGTCCACCGGGGTGAACGACAGTACTCGGCGACGGAGTCTCTCTCCCACCACAAATCCAACTCCGAATTTGCGCTCCTTTACATGGCAGCTGTAGTAGACGTCGCAAGGCCCCAGACATTGTTTGCCTTGCCCCGTCCAACGCATTTCTTGGATGGAGGTGATGTCAGCTTTTGTCCTTACGAGGACATCAACCAGCCGGGCAGAGGCACCTTCCCCATTAAGGGTCCGGACATTCCAGGTGCATGCCCTCAAATCGTAGTCCTTTAAACATTTGCCGTGGTCGTCATCATAAGGGGGGGTCTCATCCGAGGCTTTGCCTTGCTTCTTCACTGGAAGTGGTTTTTACGTGGCGGGTCCCAAGCCCAGCGCACAACCCATTGCTGGGACGGGGGTGGTTTCGCAACCAAATACACGTTTATATAGCGAGCCGCTTGCTCCAAGCAGACACCCGCTTGCAGCCGCACCTACTGGTGAACAGACGCTGCAGACTTCAGTGAGCCCTTAAACCGAATAAGTCAGAGTGGCCCCACCGAAGCTCCCTCTCATTCTGCCGTGACCCAAGGCTCCACTCGGATTGGTTACCGCATCTCGCACATGGGTTGCTCACGTTGCCCAGAGTGCGCGAACGAGGACGCAAGAGTCGGGATTGAGTATAGCCATGCAACTGTAACTGCATACCCAGCGCAATGACTATACCCCATTGCACTCCAAACTATGTGCTTAAAATATTGGCGACGAAAACAAATACCCCAACCGACGCAGTGTGCAGTGCTAAATGAATTTTTCGATGATAGGCGCTTTAGGAATCGAATTGACCATGAGCATAAAACTCGCAGGCGGATAGAAGGATGCTTCAAAATCCCAAAGTTCATAAATAACTATGCCAAAAATACACTGAACGTCGTAACGCCAACTCTGTCGAATGAACTGCCACCACAATACATATATCTGCCGGAAAATGCAAACAGAAAAAATTTAATAAAAGATCATTTCTTAAATTCTTAGACATAAGCTGCGTTGTAATCGTATTTTTTTACGTATTATTTTTATGCAATAGCACTAATGTTAGTATCCTAAAGAGAGTATTAGCTAAATCAATTTTAATAATTCGTACCCGCGGACAAGCTTTCTTAGCTTCGCGTTTTTTTTCCAGTCTACAACTTTAAATGTAACCTTATCTGAATAAAGAATGAAAAAGACTTATGTTCACTTGAAAACGGAATAGCGCAAGGTTCTCCTTTATCAGTTACACTCTTTCTAATCGCATACAATCGCCTTAACGAGATAATTAATCAGAATAATTATTTTAGACATATTATTTACGCAGATGACCTATATATTTTCGCAAATGAAAAAAACCCGATAAATTTCAATAACCATTTAATTAAGTTATTTGATGATATTACAACATGGTGTCAAGTCTCCGGAACTAAAATATCTTTGGATAAATCTAGCCATCTACACATTTGTAAAAAGCACTCATTTAACAACTTAGTAATTAGTTTCAATGACCAAATTGTACAAAATGTTCATTGTCTTAAATTTCTTGGTATTATATTTAATAATAGATACCCGTGGAATGATCATGTTAAATATTTATGTACATCACTTCAAAACAGATTGAATATAATTATGTGTCTAAGCAGCCGTAAGTTAGAAAGTAATACAAATACGCTAATAAAAATAGTTAGAGCGACAATTTTGTCAAAAATAGATTGTGGCTTGCCAATTTTCGGATCATATCATATACTATATACCACTCAGCAGCTCGTCTTTCCCTAGGAGCCTTTCGGACAACCCCAATTATCAATATACTGACCGAAGCCGGACTACCTCAACTAAAGGAGCGCATCTCTTATCTTTCGGGCTGTTTACTTTCAAGACTTTGGTACTCAGACGGCTCACCTCTGAAAACTATAATAAAAAACAAAGTGAAACGAAAACGTTAACCAAAAACTGTATCAGCTCTGCAGAATATGCTGCATTTCGCCAAAGAACTGGATATTACTTTAAACTTCAGGGCTTCGTTCAGATCGCGCTCACCCCCTTGGTTACTTCAAAACAATTCAATTATATTACAACTCACAATTCACAAAAAGTATCTCACGAACTGGAACATTTTATATACCGATGCATCGAAGGAGAATAAAGTTGTTGGTTACAGTGTTGTCGATAACGAGTCCACCATCATGCTAAGATTACTACCACTCCAGGCCTCTGTTTTTACCGCTGAGACAACAGCCATCCTCCACGCTAGCCGCATAGCCAAAGACAGGCGTGTTAAATACATAATCTTCTCGGACTCCCTATCCTCACTTCAATCAGTTTTAAATGTGAATGAGTCCAACCCAATAATATCCGAAATAAGGGACATTCTAATAGCAAACCCTCACACCATCAAACTACTCAGGGTGCTTAGCCATATTGGTATACAGGGCAACACTCTTGCGGATAATGCAACTAAAATGGCAACTAGATCACCACTGAAATTAACCAATACACTATGCAAAAATTACATTAGAAGGGCAGTTTACAACCATCACATGATATCTTCAAATCTATATTGGGAAACTTACAGCAACAGATACAAAACAATAAACCCTGGTCGGTCAGAACCTAATTTTCCCGTTGAACTACCTATATACATACACGACTTCGTCTTGGGCACACGCGTTTTACTACTCGACAAATCTCAACCAACTACTTGTCCCTATTGCAATATCTACGACCTCACAGTAAGCCATATAGTAAACAAATGCCCAGAACTTGAAAGTATTCGCCGAGAAATAAGCAATAACGATTTAGAACAAACACTGATAACTGTAAATACTACTAACATACTAATAACATTCATATGTAAACTAAATATCTATTTTGAAGTGTGGTATTATATTTATGTACTACCTGTAGATAAGTAAGTAGTTAACCACTATCATTAATTTTATTTTAGAAAGCCGATGGCCTTTGTCGCTAGGGCTTATTCACATTGTTGACGGTGCTAACAGGAGGGGAACGGTACATAACGTTATGAGGTTTAATTTGGGTTAAAGTCTCACACTGACGGGGTTAGGTTTTCGATGCATTCTCCTCTGAAAAAAAAACATGTGCAGTAATAATTTTATTATTTAAATCGACGAATAGTTTTATATCAACTTTTGTGAACTTCTATTTATGTGTTTTTGTACAACATACCTCTATTGATAACAATAATTTTAAGCTATAATAAACAATTTTTTAGTAAAACTTATTGGTTAAAAAAAAAAAATATTAATAATTTTATAGGAGGTCCCCTCGTTCTGGCTACGCCCATGATTGCTAGGTAAGTGATTTGAAATAAAAATGGTCCAAGCGTAATGCTGGGTAGGGCAATTTCATTTTAAGAGGATCGAGTACAGTGCACAATGTATAAGTTCTTCGTTTTTGTGAAAAGGTGCATTTGATCTGTTTCTGGTTTAATGATAAGCAGAAATGAACAATTAGTCGCAGCCTAGGTCAGGAAATGTAAAATATAAGTAGGCCTTTGCGTGTGCTGGGTACAAATTAGTAACTGGGTAGAAGAATTTCTTTCTAGTTTATTGAGTACCCTTATTCTAACCCAGAGGTTCCCAAATCTTTTTCTCGTAGACCCCTTTCAAAAATTTATTGGTTTAGGTGGACCCCCTGCTGTTACATTTCTAAATATTCCCAAAGCTCGTAAAAAATTTAAATGTGAAGATCTAACTATGTAAATTTGCAACACGAGTGAATTCAAAAACTAAACTCGGAGTGGCCAAAATAAAACTAAAATATTTTCTTTCTATTTATTAAAATAATGTGATTACACACTTGCAGGTTTTAAAAGATAGAGCTCGTAAATCCATCAAAATACTCTCTCGCTCTGAGGAAACAACAAAAGTGCTAAGAAGCGAAGTCAAAAGACAATTATAGTTCGAGAAGAAAACAAAGAATCAGATGACGCCCACGCCAGCATTTTGTCAGAATACGATGATTAGATGTATTTTAGTAGAGTTAGTGTTGTATATTATTACTTTTTTACATAATAAAATGTAGATTTTCATAAAAATAAGCTTTTCCATTTAATTCCTTACAGAAATTTACCTAAGTAGGTACTCAGAAGTAAAAGGATCCAAGTGACACAAAAAAAAAATGTTTCAGTTTTTTTTCCATCTGCAGTAAAGATTCTTTGAAAAAGTTAATTTAACCTGCATTCATTTAGGCAAGAATCATTTCAAACGCATTTACCCAGAATTTACAATAAGTAATCAACTTTAACCTTAATTATCTCAAAACAATGTCAGACCAACTTAGATCCTTTTGATTCTAACCCCTTCATTTGTAAAATAATTTTGTGTTTATGGCATCGTTTTTATTTTTATA